TGTCGTGCCCGCAGGTTTCCCGTCCTTCCGGTAACACAACGGCGGATTCCATGTCTTTTCTTGTAAGTAAACCCGAACGGATTAGGGTGAGTGTTGAAAAACCTTCCCGTTTCCCTGCGCCGCCGGTGTGTGTCGGTAGAGCTTGCCTGGCGCTTGCCTGTCCGGGAAAGCACCCGAAAGGCTCCGTAACACGGGATCTCCGTGGGCCCGCCTGAAAATAAGAAACACAAACACCCGAAGCAGCTGCTTCCCTGCGAGGGGCCGGTAGCGGGTGTCACAATTCAGGAATTTTTCTAATAAACTTCACCCGAGAGGCGAAACGCAACAGCTTTGTTGGATTCTGCGCTTTTGAGTTCTGAAGCGTGATGTGAGAAAACCGCTTAAATTGCTACCAACACCGCCCTCAAAGGGCCTGGTTCCGTAAGAGCTTTCAAGTCATCACCCAGAGAGACTTTTGGTGCTTTCTAGGATGAGCTTCCCTTGCTCTAAGCAGTATAAGCTATTCTTAAAGTTACTTTACCGAGCAGGCTATTTATTAATTTACAATTCTAACCTGGGAGTGTTTGTGGTTGTTTATTTAATGCTAACTTCGCGATCAGCGCTCTGCAAGGCTAAAATTCCATGTTCTGTTGTGTGTTATGTGTGTTTGTAGATATATTTTTTTTTTCTTTGAAACACAGAGTTGAATAGAGCAGTAGAAATATGTCTCTGCACAACCTAAGGCTGTGAATCTGTGAGTTCTGGAAGAGAACAGTAGCTTTAAAACATTTCTATTTTAAGTTTGCATACCGTCAGTATAGTAACATGCAGTAAATATAGCCAAAGTACCCAAAGTCTCTAAGACTGTAAATAGTTAAAGCTTTTTTTTACACCCGGACAAACAAGTTTTATTTGCTTCTCCAAGGGAGCTGTGGCATGCTTATGATTTTTGCTGTACGCGTATGTATGAAGGTTCTTGTTTGAATGATCTAAAATTACGTGAACTTTATTGCAAGTGCCTGCTGGGCAGGAAAACCAGCAGCACTGGGTGGTTGCTGGGTGTGTGCCATCGTAGGGGCACGACAAGAGAATTATCCTTGTCCAAAGTGAGGACGTCACTGCGATATTGCAGATCACAGTGGAATCCTCGAAGTGTTACGATTTTCTTACATTTTTTGTGGGGGAGGGAGAAAAGAAACTTGTTTCTGGGTGGAATACCTAATTACCTGGGCCTTGTTGTTTTTTTTCTTTCAGCGGTGGGTGTCTGAGAAGTTCATTGTTGAAGGCTTAAGAGAGTTCGAACTGTTTGGAGGTAAGTTTTCCCTCATTATTTTAGCTGTCAGGTCTCTTAATTTGGTTGCAGATACGTATCGTAGCAGTAAAAGAGACTAATAAATCAGTCGGTAGCATCAGATCTGGTTATTCAAGCTGGCTAACTGTGTAAAGTGAATATGGAAGTGCCCAAGATCTAGCAAGTTATTAGGAAATCAAGTACTATTTTCAGACCCTGCATTCTCTTTTTCGTAGCATAACCACTTTCTTTCCTATGCAAAAGATAGATTTGGGGTTTGGGAAGGTTAATTGTAATTTTTCTGAGTGGAAATGGATTTTGAAACTCTGATGAGAGTTCCCCAGAGTGCCTGCAGGAGAGCCGATTGCTTTCTGTTCTGCTTTGTGCATAACGAACAGAATTGCCCGCTGGGATGCAGAATTCCTGCTCAGTGACATGGAAAGCAGTCGGAGCAGAGGAGAGATGTCTAGATCCTGAGCTTTCAGGTGGAGTGGGAGATTTTTCCCTGCTTCACATAAACTTCAGATAGTTTCCTCCATATTTAAGTGACGTAGATAGTTCATGTTTGAATGTGTTTAGAAGTATAACACAAAAAATCATCACCTTATATTTAGGTTGAATGTATGAACAGTAGCACTACCTGAATCTCTTTAAATCCCTTACGTGTACTACAGTTGGATTATTTCTAGTGCTGCAGCCTTATGTGTAAATTAAATGCCTTTGTCTAAAAAAAACATACTTGGTTTCGAAAAGTATCATGCGGGCTATTGACTCAGTTGTCCAACTCTATTTTTAATGGGTTTCTGCTGAACACAACATGGTGAACAATTAATTTCTTTACTCCAGAGCAGCCTCCGGGTGACTCTCGGAGAAAAGTAAGTGACCTTTGCAGGCTGTGGTGCTGTGGTTCATTGCATGGAGATTATTCCTTGTGGAAGTTTGGTTTTTTTTTTTTCTTTTTATCTTAGTTATATCCTTCATCTCTATATTTAGCTCTACAAGTGTGAAAACAGGTTTCACCCTGGAGTGGAGATTTTGGTGTGTGGTTTTCAAACTGGATGTGAAAACTCAAAACTCGAAACTTAAATTTCTTGGATTTGGATTTGTGTCATCGTTCCTCCAGCCTCCCAGTGGTCTCTTTTTTTTGAGATGATTTAGATTGGATTCTTCAGAGATGCAGCTTATGATAGAATATGTTCGTCTAAATGATTTCGCACCTACCCACAGCGTATTGAAACATTTCTGTGCGCAGGTGTTGCTCTAGTTTAAGCTAATCACAAACATGAATTAAGTGTGATTTGATTATAACTGTGTCAGTTCAGGCTGCTTATAACTGATTTTTGTGCCAGTGTCTGTAGTTTACTGGCACAAACAAATCCGAAAATATGAGATACATATGGAATGTTTTGTATTAAGTAAATTTACCCCTTTTGATTTATTTTTTTTAAAGCTTTTAAAATATGTTACGCGTTTGCTGGACTGGAAGCAAATTGAGATGAGCATCTGTTTTGGTTTTGTCACAGTATTCACTTGGGGCTTGGGCACCTCTGCAGTGGTATTGCTGACTCCGTTTTGATTTCTGCATCTAAATAAAAGCTTCCTTTTTCCAGCAGGGCTACAGAAGAAATAAATAGTAATCATAGAGTAGTAAATAATTTTGGGAGAGGGATGGGAGCAAAATCTGTGTTGCTCATGGTGAAAGGCAGCGAGGGAATGAGGAGGTGGAGGGGAAGGCAGCAGAACAAAAGCAACATTCCCTCTTCCTAATCCGGGTGAATGTCACTTGACAAACGGGGATCCTTGCTAACATCACATAACTGGTTTTCATGTGGCATTTAGCACAGTAGCTACCTTTCAAAGATTAATTTGCTTCAATCTATCTCAAATTAAAATCAGATCAACAGCCTGGAAAGCTAGCTCTTAATGAATGTGGGGCCCTAAAGCCAGCCGTATGTGACTTCATTTTGCAGCTGCTTTTGCTTTTGACCATACACCAAAAGTTGTCCTGTGTGAAACCACCGAGGAGCTTTTTTTTGCGGTATTTCATAAATGACATTTCAGTTTAACCTTTCTTTGTTTTTTTTAACAAAAAACCTCTTGTGTGATGTTGATAAATTTCTGGTAGAGCTCCTTTTGCATTAACTCTCAGTTATTGGTCACTGCTAACACGAAGAGAGGTGAGTGAAGACCTTGGGCGTACTCAAAAAGGGAACTCACAGTATTTTTCCATTACTGTTGAAGCAGCCCACACCATTAATAGGATTAAATTTCTTCAGTCTTTTGCATCTGTTTTGTTGGCTTATGCTATATCTGGAGTAGACTTTAATAAACCACTTACATCTCGCTCTGTGTTTCACCAGCTGTCATTGCTCCATAACGCTGCTTGTCAGAGCCTCCCGCTTTCAGTTCCTTGGTGGTGCCTTTCTGCTTCAGAGGTTTCCATCTGCCTGTGTGTCTCTCCTGGCAATCTGGCTGTTGACAGGACCATGTGAAATTGCTGGAAGAAGTAACGAAAGATACAAGTGAGATGAGAATTGACAGGCGTCTTTAACCGAAGTTTGCAATCGTGAAGGGGAAGTTGCTGCCTGTTCTGAGCTGAGCAGCAGCGCTATGCAGTGTTAGGATGAGTTAAAAAAAGGGAATTGGGACTGCTGAGGTCTCAGGGGTTAGCTGAAATGGGACTGAGTTGTTGTGCTGGAGTTGTGTGAGCTGAAATTGTTCCCTAGCACTGTTCACCAATCTTTTTTTCTTTTATCTTACCAGGAAAATATACATTTTTTTTTTTGTTACAGGTAGGCAGAGAGAGGTAAATGCTGTTCAGAGTCAGTTGAAATGGTGTAACTTGGGAAGCCTGACTGCTGGCTTACTCCCCAAATATACTTGGGGACACAACGATAATTTACAGCAAATTCCCGTCTGTGCTCATGGCACTACATTTACGCTGGACTGAGGGTAGAACAGCAAGTTCTTTGTTTTTCAGCCATCACCGTGTTGTTTCCATCTTTCAGTGATGGAAAAAAGAGTATTTGCTGTCACTCTAGGAAAACACACGAGCCTTTTCTGCTTCGTGTACCGTGAGAAAAGGTCTGATAAAGGGCATTTGCAGTTAGTGAAGAATGAGGTGGAAAAAATGAGCCGGAGTTCCAAATGTCAGGAGGAGTTAATGTGCTGGAAATTGGAGATAACTAAATCTGATCTTGGACACCAAATAAATTTGGATCCCCATTAGGATGTTCTCCTGGTGACTTTGGAAATTCGAGAGAGTTGGAAGGTACAGCGGAACTTGCGAGAACATTGAAGTTTGTCTGCTGCAAAGTCCTGCTTGGAAAGGTTTATGTGCACGTAAATAAAGCAGATAACTTTATGTCAGATGTAGTGAAGAAAAGCTGACAGGCTTGGGAGTCCTGCTTTTTATTTTTTATTTTTTTCTTTTCTATAAGCACTAACGCTTTGCAGTTAAGTTTTTGGCTTTCATTTGGAGCTTCTCTTTTCACGTGTGTCTGATCTCCACATGTTGGGCGAAGTTAGTCCATCGTTTCTGTGGTGCAGGTAAGCAGCTGTGGCTGCACTGGTCTTATTGCAGACGAGCAGCTGAAAACCAGAAGCCCCAGCATCAGGCAGGGCTGCTGCCCGCTGCAGTGCAGAGAAATGCTATAAAAAAAGTTTTCCTTGGGCCTTCACTCAGGCACCAGGATGGTGGCACAGAGGTTTGTGACTAATGGCAGAAAGGTAGTTCCTACAAAGCAGTGCTTAAGCTCTACTGGGGAACTGGCTTTATCCAAATAGTCCTAAACAAATTCTAGCTTACAGTAATTAAGAACTTTGCTGTTACGGTTACGTGGTTGGAAACACAGATGTCTGGATCTTCTGAAATGAGGCATCTCCTGGATTTCAATTGATAAATAACTATTTGCAATTACTTTAACAGCAGTCTCTTCTATATTCAGTACTGCCTTTTTATTTTGAGATGTATGATAAGGAGCAGATGATTTTTCCAGCACACGATCTGTACTTCTTTTGACCTGACTTAATTTTTTTTCTTTCCTAGACAAATGAGGCAAGCTCCGAGTCGATAGCTTCTTCCCCTAAAAGGGACACCATGAGCAACTTCCTACCGGACAGCAGCTGTTATGAGTTGCTCACTATCATAGGTAATCCTGCCAGTGGGCTGGAGGATTAGAAGTCTGCTTTACATAGAAAATAACTTCCACAAAATTTGTTGGCCTTTTCTTGATTGCTTGCTTGGTGCCTGTCTTCCGTGGGTTTAAAAGCGCTTTGATAAAAAATCAGATGCCAGTCCTAAAGGGTTTTGACTGGGAGAGGCGTGTGGTGGGTTAATGACCCTGAGTGTGAAGTACAAAGTCAGCAGGAGCAGACTGACACCCGTCTCTGTCCTTGGTGGGGCTGTGGCCCAATAATTCTGTTTCTCCCCCAGTTCTGAACTTGAAAGACAGGCTGGTGTTACTGGCTAGGAGGATTTCTCTCCATGGGACACGTGCCAGGGAAGGTGGTGTCTGACAGAATGATGATTCTTTTTCACAAGGCTAAAAATAGTTTCAGTAAATGAATATAAAGATTATTTAAGGGTCAAGGACTAGAGGAGTTCTCCAGAGATGTGTGGTTCCAGAAGTGCTGCTGAAGCTTTTTAATATCTTTCCTCTCAGGCAGAGGCTTTGAAGACTTGATGGTTGTGAACCTGGCCAGGTATAAACCCACAGGAGAGTACGTCACAGTCAGAAGAGTGAACCTGGAGGCTTGCACAAACGAAATGGTCACATTCTTGCAGGTAAGGCAAAGCCACTGATAGCACAGTGCAGATTTAGGAGAGGACAGACAGCAAGAATGGCGCTTATCAATACTGTATTTGTATTTCTGCATTTCCTAAATTGAATCAAAATACCCTCTTTTTATTTTAGGGGGAACTGCATGTTTCGAAGCTATTCAACCACCCTAACATCGTGCCATACAAAGCAACTTTCATAGCTGACAACGAGCTGTGGGTAGTGACGTCTTTCATGGCCTATGGTAGGTGGAGAGGGAACACCTTTGTCTGACTGTCACATTCTGTGAAGTGAAATTTAAGTAATGAAGTATCCTTATGTTTGTTTGTGGTTTTTTTTTCAGACCAGCTAAGAGGTGTTTTGTTTCTTTTTAGGCTCTGCAAAAGATTTAATCTGTACCCATTTTATGGATGGGATGAGTGAACTGGCTATTGCATATATCCTCCAAGGCGTATTGAAAGCACTTGACTACATCCACCACATGGGCTATGTACATAGGTATATTAAAAAAGAAAAAAGTGATCCACTTTCCTTCCATTGGAAGTTCTCAGAAGTAACTGCTCATCCTTAGAGCAGAGCGGAGAGCTGAAGAGATGCAGAATGCATTATCGAGTTTTGTGTTACTTTGCTGTTAGAGCAAATCAGTTCGATACTCATGGGAAGTTTTATCACTGATCATACTAAACTGCGTGTAAGTGGCACAAACTTAAAAGACCACTGTGTATCTAAAATCACAACCGCAGCTCGTGTTGCCAGGCTGACTTGTTAAGGCTCTGTTCAGATGCTAGTGATAGTCTCCAGACTGAGACTGATGGTGGTGGTGGGATTTGCCCTGTTACTGTTGAAGGTCCTGGGCCCCTAACCTGTCTCTTAGCATATTTTTCTTCTTCTCTGATAAATATTCTGTTGTGAGATAGGCTTAAAGTTCTACGTTAATAGTGGTTACTACTTTTCTTATATATACTGTGAAAGAAATTCAGCTTACCTGTGCCTGCCTTAAATCCTTTGCAGTGCCCTTCTGTGCTAACAGTCTTCCCGGGATGCTGTTGAGGTTTTACTGATGGTTTACTTTTTTCTTTTTTTAAATTTTTTTAGGAGTGTTAAAGCCAGCCATATCCTGATCTCTGTAGACGGGAAGGTGTACCTCTCTGGCCTGCGAAGTAACCTCAGCATGATCAACCACGGGCAGCGGCTCAAAGTCGTCCATGATTTTCCCAAATACAGCATCAAAGTCTTGCCTTGGCTCAGTCCTGAAGTCTTGCAGCAGGTGTGTTTAAAAAGAACAAACTTAGGTTTGAGTGTTACATGGTACCTCTGTGTAATTTTCTGAGTTCTTAGGGCAAGTCAGTCAGTCCACAAGGCTAATACTTCTTTTCCTTTTCATCTAGAATCTCCAGGGTTACGACGCCAAATCTGACATTTACAGTGTAGGGATAACAGCCTGCGAGCTGGCAAATGGCCACGTACCATTTAAAGACATGCCTTCTACCCAGGTAAGGTTTAGAGCTGTTCCTTTTTCACCCTGACACACGGATGCTGTGTCTACCTGAGTGAGAAATCTTAACTGTCTAGTCTTCCTGTGTGTGATGTTGCTCATGGCCCTTCTCTTCCAGATGCTCTTGGAAAAGCTGAATGGAACTGTGCCCTGCCTGCTGGACACCACCACAATTCCTGAAAACCTCCCGATCCAGCGCGAACTGTGGGATGGGCGAGAGCATGGCTATTAGCAACGTGAGAGCGGCCAACGGAGAGCTGGCCCTGCACCCTTATCTTCGGACCTTCTCCACCTACTTCCATAACTTTGTAGAGCAGTGCCTCCAGCGGAACCCCGATTTCAGGTAACGCCAGGGGAAAGCTGCTCTTCACAGATCCACACTGTTCTGGGGTTGATTAAGCTGTGAGAGCCAGCAGAGGTTCTTCAAAGGTTTCTTTCTTTTCTAACTCCTCTCTACAGGCCGAGCGCAGCCACTCTGCTTAATCATCCCTTTTTCAAGCAGGTAAGAAACTCATCTAATCTGCAGATAAAGAATAGCGGCTTTTTTCTAGCTGTTGTCTTGCTGTGTCTCTGAACCTAGGGGTGGGAACGTCAAGTTGTTGAGTCTTCTGTGATGTGAAAGGATTAAGTTAGTCTGGTGACTAGTAGTGCAACTTGGCGATCCTCACCTTTCCCTGGGAGGTGGCTGGGCTGTTCTCAAGGCATCGAAGCAGAGGATGTAAATCTGCCTGTCCTGTATGCCCAGAATTTTTCACGAGTACTGGGACAAGGCAGTCCTGACTTGATCCTTACTGACCCCAAACCCAAGTGCCCTGTGCGGAGCAGGCTGGCGAGCTCCAGCCCAGGCCTGGGAAGAGGCAGCAGCTCTTGTGCCCCTGAGATGATTTGTCTGGCTTGCTCTGAGCTGAGGGTTAGGGTGAGGCATCACGGATGGGAGTGTCAGGACTGTAGCACCCCAGTGCTGTCGAAAGGGCCGCATGTGAAGCGCTTTCTTGTTAAGAGATCCTGTGCACTGCTGCGCGGGTGAGAGGGTAATGGTGTAACCACACGTTGTTCTCTTCATCTGTGGTGGACAACCATGTGGGAACATTCCAGCACACAGTTCTCTCCTTTCTGTGCAGCTCAAGCGCCGTGCTTCCGAAGCGCTCCCTGAACTTCTGCGCCCCGTCACCCCCATCACCAATTTTGAAGGAACGCGGCCCCAGGACCCCAGTGGCATTTTTGGGCTGGTGTCAAACCTGGAGCAGCTGGAAGTGGATGACTGGGAATTCTAGAAAAAACGGGGACTGTACCTACTTCTGGAGGAGTTTTCTGGACATTGTAATTTATTGGTCCTGTTCATAAAAAGTGGTGAATGTTACGCAAGGAAGAGTTTACAGGTCCTGGGGAAGGAACTTCAACTGCCTGTTCACTTTAGTAGTAGCCTGGAAACATGCACAGACCCAAGCTGGAAAAGGAGGAAGCCCGAAGAGCTGTAGAGTTTTCTAAATGGCGCAGTGCCCAAAGCTCCAGTTGTTGCAGCAGAGCACTGGTAGATCGTTCAAATGGGTTGAGTGAATCTGTTTAGTCTCTTGTTTTTGTAAAAATTGCTGGCTTTCTCCTACCACAGTTGAAGGCTGCATGTCCCTGCCCTGTTTTTTAATCTTTTAAGGGTGCCTTGGAGTTAAGGGGAGGCAGGTAGCTCTTAGTTATGGGCATTCTCTTAGAGCTACTCAGATTACTGTTACAGTGTTGGCAGTTTTTGATGGTGGGGGAGAAAAAGGGATTACGTTCTTTAAATTTAGTCATTGCTTTGTGATGGAAAATGGGAGATTGAAGACAACCCCGTTCTGGGCACGCTCACTGCACTGGGCATTCCTCGGCAGCACTGGATTCTCTTCCAGTTCTGGAGAGAGCTTGTGAAGTGATCCTCACCCTTGCTGCTGAGCACTGTGAACCCCAGGTCAGACGGGGTATTCCAGCCTCTCCTCCATGGCTGCCCGGATCACCAAAGCAAGTGTGTACACTTGTGCAACGCACCAGCGTTTTTAGCCCCCTCAGCGTGTTTAGTTGAGCCTCCTGTTAGCTGGGTTGGTCTCACAGTGTGTAACTCATACCCAGCTTGTTCTCAGTGACTTACACTGGCACAGAGGGAAAAGTAAGTTGACTTTCATGCTAAATTCTCTTGCTGATAATTCCTCTTTAAACATCATATACAGCATTGATCTTAAGCCTTCCGTTACCGTTGTTGTTCTGACTTCCCTGACTGAGACAGGATAAAAGCTTTGCACATAGCTCCCCTTGATTCACTGATGTGTGACTGCCCTGCTGCTGTGGCAGCTCTCCCAAGTTCCATGACATTTAGGGGTTTTTTTGAGGTCTATTTCCCAGGACCATGGGTGCTGGATGTCTTTCTACACTTTAACGAAGCACTGAGAATCCAGTCCTTTAGGTGTGGTTGATGGGAGTAGCGGTGGTGGCAACAGGTCCTTCTTGTGTTTATAAACTGTACTTGAACGCAGATAAAGTTTGTTACTCTAGTTTTTTGCCAAAACAAATAAAGTATTTCTGAAGTTGTTTTTTTTTAAGTCTGCTGTTGCTGCAAGATGATGGAGTGGATCAAAAATGACGACACAGCCTTGCTGTGCACGCTCTCTCTCATTTCCTTACATAAAGAGGTGCTGCTTGCACCCCAGCTGGCAAGGGCCAGAACGTAGCGTG